CCCCCTCTGGCCCTCGTCGCCTGCAACACTCGCCCGACATGAACCTTAGCCCGCTCTCTCGTTGCGCCGCCCTCCGCAGGCTCAACGTCCGAGCTTTGTCCCCCGTCACTTTCCTCTCATTCAGACCCCACACACGCGCATAGCTGTTCGCACATCTCTGACCAATGCAGGCGCCTTGCCTCACTCCGCTCACGGCACCCATTCTGTCCGCTGTGCAGGACGCGCACCGAGAGGCGCTACATGGTCGACCTCATCGAGGTGGAGGACGACGAGTCGAAGTCATGGAAGAAGAAAGAGCCCGGTCCGCTCAAGGACATCGTTGACGCCGGCGGCAAGCCCGCTGGTGGCATCCAGTCCGAGGGCGAGCCCGCATCGCTCGAGCACGTCATCCCGTCCAACGGCGAGCCCGCATCGCTCGAGGACGAGATGATCCTGCTCTGGCCCACGGGCGATGACTGGTGCGCGGCAGCCGAGCTCGCGGATAAGCTCAACTCGCAGCTGGGCGTGGCCATCGACATGGTCTTGCTGGCGGGGTGGGTGGCGGTGGCTCGGGTGGCGACAGAGTCGTCGCAATGCATGGACGCCACCTCTTGCATTGGCAACCGCATCCACTACATCGTGTCGACGCTCAACAGCGTGTGGGCCGGCAAGATCACCGGGATGTTCTTGGAGAACGACATCCAAGATCTGCAGGAGATGCTGTGCGTGTCCGACAACTCCAAGGCGGCGGCCCTCTTCGTCGAGCGCGTTTGGCAGGCGCTGGGTGTCCTCGCGCAAGCCTTCTCCTTGGAGAGCCCCTGCTACCAGGACGACGAGACACCGGCGTCGGCCAAGACGTTCTCGGAGGAGACGGCTTCGGCGGTGAGCGCCCTGCAGCCCCCTGCAGCGTCTCCTGCACCGTTGTACGCTCACACGATTTGCATTCGCCCTCTCGATCGAGCACGTGCACACATGGACATGGGTATTGCCGGGACACGGGAGTCCCACGTGCGGTACTCATATTGACCCTGTGGCCTCTCGCACACGCGCAGGGCATCGACGAGTGGACGACCCCCTCCCCGCTCCGCAAGATCGAGCGCAAGGGCAAGCCCAGCCTGGTCGACTGCTCCAAGAACACCACTCCGATGGACCCACCGACGGCCCCCAACGGCGTCACCAAAAGTGTCCCGGCTCTCACGCCGGCGGCGACCGGCGGCGCGCTGCTGCCGTCGAGCGAGGAGTTTCCGGTGGAGACGCCCGCCCCGGCGGCGAGCGCCTTGCATTCTGCGCCGTGCGTCTGCCGACCCACTCGCTCTCCCACCGGTAATAATCTCCCTTCCCGTGTGCCCCTATCGCGCTTGCAGGACACCACCTGCTACCCGGGCCTGCCCACGCCGATGGCGGCGGGGAAGAGCGGGCCCGCGTCGGCCCGCAGCGGCTCCGGACCGGGCTACGTGGACGGCGTCGAGGCTGCAGTCCGCCGGCTGGGCGAGAGCGTCAGCTACCAGGCTACGCCCGCCGACGGCGAGAAGTCGCCGTCGCCGGGAGTCCCCACCTCCGGCGGCATTGCGCCCGTGGCGCCCAAGCCCCTGAGCGCGGTCGCGGGCGCGGGGCAGGCTGAGGCCGAGGCCGCCAAGGAGCGCGAGCACTGGGAGGGGCGGCTCAAGAAGGCGAAGGCCGCGCTCGATCTCATTGCCGAGCAACGGGAGAAGTGGGCGGACTTGCAGTCGCGGCGCTCGGGGAAGTGCCGGCGCAAGGCCATGCGCTGCCGCAACAACCCCAAGTTTGGC